AGTTGGAGACATCGTGGTCGGGAGGATCACGGAGGTAAAGCTGGGCTTTGGGAGGAGGAGGGTGGCCCTGCCGCTGTGTCTGGGGCCGGCCCGGAGCACCTGGGACGTGCGGGTTTTCAGCGGGATGAGCTGAGCGGCTCCTCCTGCGGGGCCTCCCGCCGCGCCCAGACTCTCCTGCTCCATCGCTGGGGGTGCGTTAATCCACCAGTGGTTTTTTCCTTCTTCAGGTTCCGCAGAAGCGATGGAAAGTGGAGACGAATTCCAGGCTGGATTCAGTCCTGTTGCTGTCATCCATGAATTTACCTGGTGGGGAACTGGTGAGTGTGGGTTCACACAGAGCAGGGCCAGAGCCCTTCTGCTTCCCCACCAGCAGCTGGGAAGCCCTTCCCACAGTTAGCACAAGGGTAGTGCTGCGTTTGAGCAAGTAGAGCAGGTCTGTAGTGCTCTGGTACCTTTAACTCCTGGTGTTATTTGGACACAGACACATCACTGATCTAAAGGTGTGCCGGTCTGTCTGGTTTTCCTTTGATTGCCACCCTGTGTTTTGCCCAGCATCCTGAGGTTCCCCCCAGCATGTCAGCACTAACTGATGGGTTTGCTTTCTGAGCTGGATGTAACTTTCTTTGTGTTGTGTGTTTCAGAGAAGGAGATCAGCAGAAGATGAGCTTGCAATGAGGGATTATCTGCAGGAAGGGGACCTCATCAGTGTATCCTTCTACTGCTTGCACTTGGACAGGAGACCCAAGGGGGGCATGGGGAGAACGACCAGACCTTGCCTAGACTGGCTGGTCAGGAGAGCTCTCTGCCAGGGGCTGGTGGCACTGGGCAGCATCAGGGACCTTGATTCCTTAAGTGACACTGACAGGCAGAGGTCCAGTCCGTGTTTTCTGATGGGGCTGTATCACTGCACACCAGGAGTCTGAAATATGGGAAGGTAAGTTGTTCAGAAGCACTTGTTTTCAGTCTAATTTTGCTCCATTTCTATCAGGTTTTTCAGAGGAATTTTTAAGAAGGCGGCTCTGGAGTAGAGCAGGATGTTGTTATAATCCATTCCTGCAGCTTAGGAAGAGTTTTAGCTCCTATGTGGGAGAACCAAACAATTGCCTTAAAGCAGAGGCAATGAATGCCCTTGGAACTGCTGCTCTCCCTGTCCACAATTACAGCCAGTGAGTCTAGTTTCCCATACTTAGCTGCTGGCCAGCTAAACCCTGGGAAGAAAAACCTGTCTCAAACTTTTATCACTCCTTTTCAGCAGGCTGTTGCCCCTGTGACTTGTTTCTGTCCCCAGGGCTCCATTTCAGGCTTTACACAGTTGGCATTTATCTCTGGGTTTGTGCATTGGAATAAGCCAAGGGGCTGTTGAAGCGTAGGCTGCAGTTCAGGATTACCAGACCAAGGGTATTAGCACTTAAAAGATGAAAGCAAAGTGTGCTTACTGCACCAAGGGTGAAGGACAGTGGTTGGATTAAGAGGGGAAATGTTCTGCTAAACTGGGACTCTCGCTTCTCCCTGTTCTGCAGGGATGGTTGATGTGTAGTTATGGTCTCAGTTTTGACCTTATGCTGGACACTTGGGGTGTTCTTCAAAGGACTGTAGAGGCATTAGCCAGTCCTGGCAGCAGGCACGTGTTGTATTCACTGTTTCACATGAAAAGCTGTTAAAATTGACTGTTTTCTAGACCAGGCGTGGAATGCATGTTGGTGGCTTGATGTTATATCTGTGGTGCCTCATGTAACTCATGCTGAGTCTCCTGGTCTCCTCTTCAGCTTGGCCAGGGTGTGCTCGTTCAGGTCTCACCCTCCCTTGTGAAACGCCAGAAGACTCATTTCCACGACTTGCCCTGTGGTGCATCTGTGATCCTTGGCAACAATGGTTTCATCTGGATCTACCCAACTCCAGAGCAGAAAGATGAAGAGGCAGGAGGCTTCACCACCAACTTGGAGGTGAGGGTTCAGGGAAGATCAACCATCTCCTACCAACAATATTTTTTAGTCTTAAATAGTCAGAGACACATGAATAACTCGAGGCTTTCAAGGTTTGGTCCTGGGTTTGTGGCAAAGCTTTTTTATGGTAGGCTTGCATTATTCCTCTGTATATTCATCTTTTTCCTCTGTCCTTTTTCAGCCAGTTCCCTTGTCTGACCGGGAGGTGATCTCACGGCTCCGAAACTGCATCGTGGCTCTGGTTACTCAGAAGTTGATGCTCTTTGACACCAGCATCCTGTATTGCTATGAAGCATCCCTTCCTCATCAGGTACAGAAATCAGGGTTGTTTACTTTATTCCACACTGTGGGGAGGGGATGGAAAGGCTGCATCAGTTGCTGCTGAAGTCAGTAAGGCAGGTGGTAAGACTTCCTTTTGGCTTTCCAAAGCATTCTCTAGTGACAATATGACCTTCTCCCCTTCCACATGACATAAATTGCCTTGCACATTTTCAAGGATGGCTTTAAGGTTTCTGTCTCTGGCAAAGTCCAACTATTCCTGTAGAGAAATAATTCAGTTTTTTGATAGAGGTGTATCCCTTGCTGGGATTATGGGCCCTCTGTCATCCTTGTTGAAAACTGTTAAATTTGGGGTTGTGTGAGGGTATGGTGGTGCACATGAAGAGCTAATGAAAGTGTCACATACTGTGCAGAGACTGCTCTTCTGTTTGAATCCACATCCTGCACTGCTGGAAGGCTGCCTCAGTTTGGCCTCTTGCTGTACAGCTTTTCTGTGTGGTTTCTGCCAGCACAGTCACAACCAGAGTTCTTCTCATAAACTGATGAGATCTGAATTGTCTTCTGCTTTCGTTCACAGTGGCAGCCTACTTACCTAGATGGGATGTTCTTTGGAACTATACTTCCATTAATGTAATCTCTCCCCTTTCCAAATACTGGTGTGTGCCCTTCAGGGCTTGTCAGTAGCATCTCTTTTGATGTCTTATGGTCTCTGTAGGAATTTCTAATTCTACCAAGTTGACTTTGCCTTGAACCCTTTACCATGATAATCTTGTTTGACCACAACCCTCCGAACTCACTAGCTGTGTGCTGGGGACCTCTGTCCCTACAGTGTGTAATAGTAGAAGTTGATTTTTGGTGCCAATGTTGCTTGTCTTTCCACTGCAGATCAAGGACATTCTCAAACCAGAGGTGATGGAGGAGATCGTTCTGGAAACCCGACAGAGGTTGCTGGAGCTGGAGGGATAGGGAAGTGGCCAGAAGCAGTTATTTCAAGTCCCAGCATGGCAGCTTTTGTGTTGGTTTTTTTTTGCTGGTGTTGTAGCCCCAACATTCATTCCACACTTCAAAACCCACCAAAATTCTTCATTTTAACTCCCTAGCATACCTCCTGATCCCTTTTAGTACAATAGTACTAAATAGTACTTAAGTACAATAGCCTTTTAGTGCAGCAGCCTGAAAACTTGGTATCTGACCTTAATGAAGATGCAGATGCAACTGGCATGTATCTCATAGTACTTGTTGCTGTGTCTAGTGCCCCTGAACTTTGTGCTGAATGATAGAAGAATGGATGAATTTTGTGATGTTTCTCTCTTCCCCAAAGACTTTCTAATTTTTCTGCATTTTCCTTTACTGTGAGGTGGATCTGCCAGTCTGTCCTCTGACTGAAAGCTCTTGTTTTTCTGTTGAAAGCTGCAGGTCACAGGTACAAGTCTTTAGAGGACAGGAGTATCCACACCCTTGCTTACTGTATTTTGGGTCTGGCTGTTCATGGCTTCTGTGACTCCAGGGGATGAGTTTGGATGTGGACATGCTGTGGCTGGCCACATGAGCCAGAGGCCATGGGTGAGCAGTGCCTTCTCAGTCTGTGTCCATCCTGCTGGTCCTTTTTTAACACCTGATGTGATGATCTCCTCCTCTGGGGAGGTTCCAGGATTGTTTTCTATTAAATATTTTACATTTCAATAAATTTTTCAAAACTGATCAGTCATTCAGGAGTGTGTGCATTAGCTTGTCTTTCTCCAGAATCAATCTGGTATAGCTTGAGAGCTGTAGTTGGCTCAAGTTTTCTTGTGTCAGGACACCTGTAATTGTTGCAATGTCCTGTTTTCTCCTCTTCATCCATTGCTCCTCAGCCCGTTCAAGCAGGACTTGACCTTCCTCTTCAGCATATCCTCTGTGCAGGTTCCTCTGTAAGTAGGTCTCCTGGCATTGTTCACAGTGGTGCTCTCAACGTTGCTTCCCTGCAGAATCCCGTGGAGAAGTGAGTCATGCAGTTGCAGTGTTTGGGCGATGATGGGGACACTGGTGAAGATCCTCTGGCCAGTGGTTAGAGCCCCAGGCAAAAGGAAAAATTCTTTGCTCTGTCTTTTCCTGGGCATTAGATAAACCTTTCGTTGCTTCTCATCCAGCTCAGTGCGCTGTTCCTGCCGCCTGGAGCAAGCACTAGGTGGCAGCTTCGGATCGTGTTTGTGGCATTTACCTTCCCCAGCAGCTCCCAGAGCCAAGGCTGGATGCCTGCCACCAGTGCTGCGACTCGAACATTATGGAGCTCGGTGGCTAAGGACAAGCAAGGACATGGGTAATCAATTCTGCTGCTGCACAACTCAAACTTCTGCCCCTGCTGCCTCTGTAAAATAGTACTTAACTTCTCGAGGATACTGGTGGAATGCTCCACATGAGACCCAGGAATGGTTATTTTAGAGTTTTATGAGGATTACCTAGAAAGTGCTGCAACAATCTCATCCTCAAGATGAGTTGGGGAAATCTGAAAACTAAAGCTGGATGGTGAGATTGATGGTGACACTTTCAGGCATGGGGCTGAGGCTGCATTATCCACATCTGTGTGGACAGGAATAGTGCAAAAAGCTAAAGCTTTAGCAGCCTCTGTGTCTTTTAATTACAAAAGTACCTTTTTTCCCCCCCTCTACCCAATGGCTGTAGCTCATCAGCTGTTTATCTTATTACCATGTGGGGGGATTCAAGGATTTGTGCTGTGAGGCTTCTAGTTATAAGCAGATTGGGGATACACAACCAATGAGATAAAGTATCTGATGTGTCCCCTTTTGTAAAGCATTTTTGAAGGCTGATGGAGAAGTCTGTATTTAATCCAGTAGATCTCTTTGAATCTCTGTCACTTCAATGTAAATAACTCTGTGTCAGTTAAAGGACAAAGGGATGAAGAGGCTGTGCTTCACTGCCACCAGAGAGATTTGGTATCTAGAAATGGTTCTGCTGAACAAATGCAAAATAATTCTCTGTCTTCGAGCAACCTCTCTGCAGCTGTCTTAACAGGTCAGAAGTCAGAAAGGGGGGAGGGGGGGGGCGGTGAGGCTCTTGAAAGTGCAGTTGGTAATGTGGAAATGTGTTGAGGAGAGTTGTGCTCTGGAGGTGGCCAATTTAGAATTGGATCATGCTCATGGGTACCAAGCATGAGCTGTCAGACCGGCAAGGTGAGACAGTGCCAGGTTCTCATAACACAGATCTTAGGAAGAGGGAGCTGGTGTCTCTGCAGCAGGCTTTGTGGGCTGCACAGCTCAGTTGTTAGATTGGGATTTTATTTTTTCCTTGTTTTTTTCCTTGTTTTTTTTTTTGATTGTTTTGTTTTTCCTCTGCATAGCAGTCTTTAAAACTGTAGTCTGTTTCCAGGCTTTTTATATGAACCCTCTCTCCATCGTGAACCTCTTTTTGTTGTTTATGTTCAATAAATGAGGATATTAACAATGAGCTTAAGATCTGGACCGCTTGACCTCTGAGCTTTCAGGTCCGTCCTGCTCACTGCAGCATTCCTGATACTTTGGCCTTGGGGATGTATGAAATGGGGGGAGAATATGTGACTCATGCAGTTTCTGTGCTCCCGAATACCTGGCCCTTCGGTTTTAAGCCTGAGAACACGAGCACCAGCTGGTAAGGTTTGGTTGTGGATCTTTTTTGATGTGTGGGAGGAACTGTAGGTCCCGGTGTTTTCCTCCCTGGCCACGAGGGGTCATCGATGTTCATTGCAAATTCAACCAAGTCCAGCCCTAAATTTTGTAACAAGACTCTAGCGAAGACATTGCTGGCAGTTCCTGCAATCCCATCAAGCACAGCTTTGGAAGGCAGCAGGTAAGAAGATACAAGAGTGAGAAGCTTGCATGGTGAGGTAGAAGCTTCCTGAGACGTTTCAAAGGTGTCTTAAGAAAGGTACCAGGCCAGCCACCACTTCATCTGACTGAATCCATATTACTTTGGGCTCTCACAATAAATGTCAAGAGCTGCCAGTGCTCATCCATCTCAAAAACAACTGGATATGCTGCTGGGGCTCATGGTGCCCATATGGAGAGGCTTCAAGTACCATTGTTCAGTCATGACCCACAATGTGGCAGGTGACTTTTCCCCATTGCCCAGCAGAGATGAGTGAGGAGTCAAATGGGTTCTGGGGGAGGCTCTGGCATCTCAGGGAGGCTGGGGAGACAGGGGCTCTTTTTTCATAGGCAGGTCTGCATGGGAGTATGGGCAGGCTACATTAAAAATGCCTTTGAAACAAGAAGTGCTCAAGAGGTAAAGGAGGACTCCAACAAAAGCAGAATCCTCTTAAATTATTGAAATATTCTGTGGGATTTTGCTAGGCAACTTCTAAGCAGGAAGGGTGAAAAGGAAGAAACTATGGCTTCTCTGGTTCAAGAGCAAAATCATAGTCGAAAGTGGAGTGGGTGAAACCTAGTGTTGATTTTTGTATGGGGAACTAAAATGCCCATGCAGGCATTAAAACAGACAGCTCTGATTTCTTTGGTCACCCGTGTCTAGTGATAGGGAACCTGTTTACCAGCCAGCTGTAACACCTGCCTGTGCTGCTAACTCCAGGGTCAATACGTGGCACAGACGTACTTGAAAGTGGAGCTGGTAAATAGTTCCCTTGGTGGTGAGTGCTGCCTGCAGGAATGAGAACACAACATCACTTGTCTGTAGAAATGATTTTTCTGTTTCTTGGTGGCAGTGTTTGATTCATGTACTAATACGAAGAATGGCAACCTCTCTCTTTACTCTTGGTAATAACCACTGGGATTTTAAATTTGTGCTAATGGGTTATTAATCCAATTACTGCTGCTTATTACGTTACTTCTGTATCATCTGCGTGCAGTTTTGTCATTCAGTTGAGGTGAATGGTTTGAATACAAAGCTTTGAGGAGACCCTGGAAGATACTGAAATGCCACTGAGATTACAGGCAGTCTCGAAATGGTTGTTTCAGGTTCCTGAGGACTGCTGATAATTATATGCTAAAGTTTATTACTTGGTAAAGAGATTGAAGCTTTATGATATTGTTATGGAGGAATCATCACTGCAGCTGTTGGATGGAGCAACCCACACTTAACTGAAGGTAAACAGAAAAATTGTTAACATTTCTATTATGAAATGTATGGGATGTACACAAGCCACATGCAAGGCTCAATTGAAAGAAATACTCTGTATATTTAAAAAATTTATTCTGCATTCAATCTTTCTATCTCTGTCTTCTCTAACAATTTCTGAACCTGTTGGGCAACTTCAGGTGTGTTGTTACCATGAAACAATCACGATCCCACAGACAACAGGGCAGGGGACACAACATGCAATACCCTTCAGGAAGGAAAAGAGGGCAGATGTCTTGCTGTGATATTGGGGTGTCATCAGCTGGCCCATCCTGCCTGTGTGTAGCCCCAAATTAACTACAGCACTGCTTTGGGAAACAGGGAGTGATTTTGGAGTGACTGCTGAGTAGAAAGAAGTGGGGGACTTCCCCCGCTTGGGTGCTTTTGATTGCAAAGCATCAGAAGGAATACCTGGCTGTTGAACTGAAGGATAAATTCACCTAGTCTGTTAAATAAAAATTAAGTGCATTCCTCTGCATAGATCTCAGGTGAAGCAGGGAGAAGCATATATACAGCCTGTATTGTCCAGAACACAAGTCCTGGTTATTTGCAATAACCTTTGTGTATTTTAGTCATGGTCTCCCGAGTATTACAGACCTCTGGTAGTCTCCTGGAGTTCACTTCTTCAGCCCTGCCATGGTAGGAGAGATTATCCAGGATGCTTCAATCAGACCCAGAAGGGAGTAACTTTCAGTAAAAGGTGGTTGGTATTGTGTTTTGTAACAAATTTCTCTCAGGCTGCATAGACAGTTCTGTTTCCTCAGTTTCTTTGGATCTATGGAAGCTGAGCAGGGGGTTCAATCACCACAGTGAGAAGCTGATCTCCGTTACTGAGGTAAACCTGGGAGACACTATTGAGTTCATGGGATATGACCCTGGCTTTGTCTCAGCAGCATGTACCAGAATTTCTCTCTCCTGTGTGTGGCACAAGCAGCCCTCAGTAGATGCAATTTGAGTTGTTGATGGAGAAATGCCATAGAAATGGTTTGGGATTATTCTCCTGGCTAAGAATTAGGTATGTTAGTAGCAGGCTGGCAAAGCAGAGATGGAGGATCCCATAGGGCTGTACAAGGTGCTACATTTCAGATGCTATTGTTGGAAGATGAGAAATACACGTCTGCCAGGGACCCTGAATATGGCGTAGGAGACACGG